GAGCTCCCCTCCTCTGTGAGGACAGATCTGCATGTCCCCCCCCATAGCTAGCAATCCAAAACAGTCCAGTGGAGCCTAAGCAGTGGGTGTTGCCTTCCGACACACTTCCGGTGATGTCAGGGGGTGTGGCATATGCAAATACGTTATGCTAATGAGTTATGCTAATGAGCCCCTGCACCTCGTTTTCTACGAAATGACCCCTGGTTAGGACACGGGAGTCTCACTCTTTTACAAGAGTGAGTCTCCTGTGTCCAAACTGAAAGCGACAGGTAATTGGGCTAAGGCTAGGAAGCTATCTGAAATTCCGAGAATTTTTGCACGAATGGTTCGGAAACGGCACACAGATCCCAGAGAGGTGGACGGGCAGAGCTTCATTCATTTATGCATTCTGCCCTGCTTTTCACGGTCAGAGACCTGCTCCGAGCAGCCCAGAACATCATTTTAAAATCATTATAAATTCTGAATGGCCCGCCGAGCAGCTCCGATCTCTCGCAGAGCAAGGGCAGCTCAGAAAACAGGCGGGGGGATCTGAAACCGGATCTCTCCTGGCCTCGGTGTTCCCTTGTCGGGCAGTGTCTACTAACCGAGGCAGAGCGGCTGGCTTTGATGGGAGTCTTGCGAGGAAATCCGCAGGAGTTACTCGGCTCACAGAACCCCTTGTCAACTGGCCCTTCCCAAATGTATGTAGGCCAGTCATTTGTGGCATAAAAGCAGGGCTTTTTTTTGTAGAAAATGTCCAGCAGGAACTCATTAGCATAATAGGCCACACCCAGCAGCAGAAACTCATTAGCATATCAGGCCACACCCCCATGTTACCAGAAGTGTGGACATCCAGCCACACCCACCTTTTGCTTCTTATTCTGTTGACCTTGTTTGTTGTCAAAACCCAGGGCCTTTTTTTGTTGCAGAAGCTCCTTTGCATGTTAGGCCACACACCCCTAATGTAGCCAATCCTAATGAGTTTCTGCTGTTGGGTGTGGCCTGTTATGCTAATGAGTTCCTGCTGGGTGTGGCCAACTTGGGAGCCAGCCGGAACTCCGTTCCTGTGCGTTCTTGCCCCAAAATAGCCCTGCATAAAAGGAAGGGGAAAACACACCAGTACACCCACACTAACTTTCGTAATGTCTCCCTTCTGGGTCATCTGCCACCTTTCCCAACTCACACGACACTGCCTTACCCTGAACCAGAACATCTGACTTGCCCCAAATCGGTCCATCAAGGTTGGTCTTGTCAAATCAGACTGGTGGTCACTCTCTAGGGTCTCAGACATTGGGGTCTTTCCCGTCACCTACTACCTGGTCCTTTCTTAACTGAAGATGCCGGGGACTGAAACTGGGACCTTCTGCATGCAAAGCAGAGGCTCTTCCACGGAGCCACGGCCCCTCCCCTGAGCCCTCACCGCAGCTGACCAGGCACGGGGCTATGTACGATTTGGACTGACAAGTGGAGACCCGCAACAAAATGTTGCGTACTGTTGGGTCTCCACTTTTTCTCTTCCCCCCTCCCCTCCCCTCCGTAGGCCTCCCTCGTGTCTCTCCCCCTTCCCTCCTAAGCGAGCCGTCGGGCCTCGCTCATCTCTTCCCCCCTTCTCCCCCTCCCCTCCGAAGCGAGCCCCGGCAGCTCCTGCTGCTGGGCCTCGCTCGTCTCTTTCCCCCTCCCCCTCCTCTTTCCCCCGAAATTTTTTTTAACTTTTTTTATTTTTGTGCACACGTGGGGACTGGCCCACATGTACACAAACCTCCCCCGGCCCCCCAGCTGCCCCCGGAGCGCTGATCTAACGATCCGCACTCCAGGGGCAAGTTGGCTATTAGATATATAGATGACATCAGCTAGTCACTCGGCCTCTGTTTGATGCAGCGACTAGAGAGCCTGCTACCAGTGCAGCATATCATCTGGTCCCTGGAATGCTGACACCGTCCGGCCTGTAAGCCTACTAAATTGTGCTGGTGTTCAGCCAGCTATCAGCAATCGGCTCTCTTTCCCCATCTACAAAACAGAAGCAGTGGTGACCCCCCTGCCAGACAAAGCTTTGGGGGTGGACAAAGAGATATCCTTTCCACAAAGGAGGATGGGCTGCATATCTAACCGTATGGACAGATGAAGCTGCCTTATCGTGTGCCCGCTGACTGGTCCAGTGATTTTGGTGCTATCCAGGGCTCTTTTTGTAGAAAAAGCCCAGCAGGAACTCATTAGCATAATAGGCCACACCCAACAGCAGAATCTCAGTAGCATAATAGGCCACATGCCCCAACATCACGGTTCATTAGCATATTAGGCCACACCCCCATGTCTTCCCTTGACTTGCCCAGTTGCCCCACGGCTGCGGGATGCCTGGCAAGCTGGCCCTTAAATGCCTCCCCGATCCTTCCAGCCCCCCCCCGGCCTGCCTGCTTCGGAGTCGCTGGGGGGGGGGGGTTTGCTCTCCAGGCCTTCCCTCTGTAGCCATGAGCACAGACGTTTTAGCTGTAGTGGGCGTGGCCAACTCTGAAGCCAGCCGGAACTCCGTTCCTGTGCGTTCTTGCCCAAAAATAGCCCTGGTGCTATCTACCCCGAGGGGCTCTCCGAGGCCTCGGGCAGAGAAAGGTCTTTCCCAGCACCAGCTACCTGGCATCCTTTAAATGGAAATGTTGGGGACTGAACCTGGGACCTTCTGTGTACACAGGAAGTGCTCTACACCACTGAGCCACGGCGCCTCCCAAGTGGAGAGGGAAACGTTGCAGCTCGTTCCAGCGCAATGCAGTGAAGTCATATATAGTTTCAGCCATCAACAAAGATCAAAAGTCCTCAAGTCTATGGCCTCTTGCAGATTTCCAACTGTAACCTTGGAATCTGGCTTCGGTTAACTCAGAGCAATTTAGGCTCTCAGTTTCTCCAAATCCACATAATGCTAACTTTAAAGACATATAAAATTGTTCCAAATTTAGTCTGCAGCTATCGTCTCCTTTACATTTAGGGTTACATTCCAATGGTATCCACGCGGAATGTCTTTGGAGTTTACTTTATCCAGCCACACTCTGAAACTGTCTGGCCATCTATAAATGGCCAATCCACAGTACACCATGTCCTTACTATGGACTGCACACAGAACCAGGATCAGAAGAAAGGCTTGTAAAGTATATATTCTAAGGGAAACCGCTTTCTTGCATTACCTCCAAAGTAACACAGGCAAAAATTAGAAGTTTGATACACACCAGATCTTGCAATGCCAGTTTAACTCAGAAATACCATTGACTCCAGTTTGTCTGAGGAAGGGTCAATTCCACCCACAAAACAACCCTCTTTTTTCAGCTCTGGTTCATGCACTCAGCAGTAAAGTGCTGAAACAGTGTCATGGTAGGAACTCCTGCCCCCTCCGATTATGTAAATAGCCCTCCAGTGTGTATTTAGCCCTCCACATGAGCTCACAATCGAAGGAGGAGATTGGATTTATACCCCGCCCTTCACTTGGAGTCTCAGAGCGGCTTACGAGCTCCTTTCCCTTCCCCTCCCCACAACAGACACCCTGTGAGGCAGGTGGGGCTGAGAGAGCTCTTTCCAGAACTGTCATTGAGAGAACAGCTCTGACAGAACTGTGGCTTGCCCAAGGTCATCCAGCAGCTGCAAGTGGAGGAGTAAGGAATCAAACCCGGTTCTCCCAGATTAGAGTGCACACACTTAACCACTGCACCAAACTAGTTCATACAATTCTTCCCCCCAGAGGTCATTTCGGGGGGAATCGCGGGGGATCGCAGTTCCCCCGGGTGAGGTACGGGGGGGTTGGGGCACATGACGAAGCCCCGCCCCCTGCTTCCGGCCGCCCCGCTTCCGGCCCTCATTCAGCCAGGAGGAGGCAGGAGAAGAGGGAGGGTAAGTTGCTTCCTCCCTGCCTCTCCCCACCCCTGCCTGCCTGAGGCCAGGGAGGGCCTTCGCAGGGCTTCCTTGCACTCCCGCCGACCTTGCAGGTCCACTGCCGGGCCCGTTGGGGGCGGGGTGTGTGGCCTTATGACACACTTCCGGTGATGTCAGGGGGTGTGGCATATGCTAATGAGTTATGCTAATGAGTTCCCCTAGCTCTTTTTCTATGAAACGACCCCTGCTTCCCCCTCCAAACCACAGGGGAAAATAATGTTGGCCAGGCCTCCATACAGCTGAATTGCCTCACCTTGAAAGCTAGTGTGTGTATGTGTGTGATTGAAAAGCTTCTGTTACCCCTCCAACCATGCTATTTCAGCACCGTCCTGGATGAAAGATATGGATCAGCACCGTCAGACAACATTTACAGCCAGCAAGATCCCCATAAAGAGTGGCCTGGCAAGGAAGTTGAGAGTACGGCTCTCTGCCTTGTTACCATGTAGTCATCACAGACTGAAATGGCACCTTGATCAAGCAAGGAGCTATTCCCACTCAACCGTGCCCTGGCTTCCAAAGATTACGGAAGCAGAACTGCCAGTGGTATATTTATCTATTTTATTTAGTATGGAGATTTGCTTGTTAAAACGTAACACACACACCCTTTCCCTCTATTTTTCTTTTCTCATTTATTGTTTCACAGAATACTTGAGGATATATCTCCCTTATATATAAAAGCCGAATGGTGGTGGCACTTCTCTAGAACATTCCACACGCTCCGGAATTGGTGGGCGCCCTGGTGTGTCACTCAGAATCTGTCCCTATCCACTGGCTGCATTGCTTGAGTCTCGCCTCCAACATTCTAAACAGTTTGCTGTTCCTCTCCCCCCCATAGCCAGTCAGAACACAGAGGTTATTTGCATATGCAGCCTCATTGGCCTTTGCCTTGATGTATCCTTATATGCTGCTGAGGTGGCCCCCGTATGACAGCCAATGTGATGTAGCAGTCAGGGCTTCAGAGCATGGGAGAGGCTGCAGGAGTGTGGGGGGTGGAAAGCTGAAGAGTGAGGGGGAAATAAAGGTAGGTTGATGATTGGCTGGGAAGGAGATAGGGTTGCCAACTCCAGGTGGGAAGTTCCTGGAGATGTGAGGGATGGAGCCTGGAGAGGGTGAGGTTTCAGGAGGCGTGGGACCTCGGACAGGTACAAAGCCATAGACTCCACCCTCCAAACCAACCATTCCCTTCTGGGGAACCATCATTGCCAATCTCCAGGTGAGGGCTGGAGATCACTCAAAATTACGACTGTTCTTTAGGTAGCAGAGATCAGTTCCTCTAGAGAAAATGGTGGACTCAGTGTCATTATACCCTGCTGAGGTTGCCACAGCAAATTGACACTGAGTGTCCAAGGCCGGGGCAAACACCCAGAGCCTCTTTCTAGAGCTCGTTGTATTTATTTGCACAACAAGCCTTTTTCCTAGTATTTGTATATAGCTGACTGAAGACAACTGTGTAGGGTTTTCAAGGCAAGAGGCGTTCACAGTTTGTTTGCCATTGCCTGCTTCTGCCTAGTGACCCTGGTATTCCTTGGTGGTCTCCCGTCCATATACTGACCAGGGCCAATCCTGCTTAGCTTCTGAGATCTGACAAGATCGGGCTAGCCTGGGCTATCCAGGTCAGGCGGCTTTTAGCTTGACAATACTTATTGAGCCACGGAGGAAGGCAGTAACGGAAACGCATTTGGCATTTTGTTTGTTTTATCATATTCTTTGACCAACTGAATATGTGTTACTCGGTGATTGATCTTTATGAATTAAGTTTAACGATTCATCTGCCATACTGCTAAAGGAATTTACGTCCAGTAGAACAATTTTTGATGGTTTTGTGTGGTCTACTGGGTATTATTGTGCTATTAATGGGTCGCCATAAGTCGAAACCAACTTGATGGCACTTAAACACAGAATTACTGGATGATTAAAAGACGAAGAAGAGATTGGATTTATACCCCCCCCTTCACTACCCAAAAGTGTCTCAGAGTGGCTTACAAACTCCTTTCCCTTCCCCTCCCCACAACAGACACCCTGTGAGGTAGGTGGGGCTGAGAGAACTCTGACAGAAACAGCTCTTTTCCAAGAACACCTCTTATCAGACCTACGGCTTGCCCAAGGTCATCCAGCCAGGTGCAAGTGGAGGAGTGGGGAATCAAACCCGGTTCTCACAGATTAGAGTCCGCGCACTTAATCACTACACCAAACTGGCTTTTTAGTCCTGCTTTTCATTTGTATATTTTTGAGGCTTATTTTATTTTTTTGGCCAGCGGTAACCAGAGCAGATTATTCTGGTAAAATGCAGTGGATTCATTGGCAGGGCCCAATGAGGACAACTTTTTAAAATCAAAGCCTCCCAGAGTTAACACCTTTCTTGGGGGGGCGGAGCGGTTTACTTCGGTCCTGTTACTGTAAGCAAAAAGGGAAAGCAGATATGCTGCCTTGAGGTGAAGGAGATTTAAATAAATCAATTAACGTTTAAAAGTAGCTTTTTGTTAATTAAACTATGTTATAATTTCCTGAGCAGGAGATTCTAACGATGGATCTGGTAGCATGCAGTTTGATTGAATTTAATCATTTATTTGGTTTTAAAAGGTAGACGATTAAGAGGTTATAAATGTGTGGACTAGTTAGCAACCAGAGATGATATGAAATTGCATGAAGACATTTCTACATCTTGGAAATGGGTCCACTCTTTGCTGGACACTCAGGCCATCTTCTGCATATAAGAAAGCATACCATGAAATTGCTGAGCAGTTGGGTTAGAACGGATAAGAGGAAGTCCTTCTTCACCCAAAGAGTGATTAACACTTGGAATTCACTGCCACAGGAAGTGGTGGCGGCAACAAGCATGGACGGCTTCAAGAGGGAATTAGATAAGCATATGGAGCAGAGGTCCATCAGTGGCTATTAGCCACAAGGTACAGATAGGGACTCTGGGGCAAGGGATGCTCTGTCTTCTTGGTGCTTGGGGGGGGGGGGGGTCAACAGTGGGAGGGCTTCTAATGTCCTGGCCCCACTGGTGGATCTCCTGATGGCACCTGGTATTTCTGGCCACTGTGTGACACAGAGTGTTGGACTGGATGGGCCTTTGGACTGATCCAACATTGGCATCTCATATGTTCTTATGTTCTTATGTACCATAAAAAGATGGTATGGTGACTCATAAGGTACAAAATCCGCAACTGTTCTCTCCTCCCCCCGCCAGCCCCGTGATCAGGTGTTTCCTCATTAAGTTTCTGCAAATTGATGATAATTGCTTCGATTTTCTGTTCAGCACCAGAAAATGAATCCAATGCCCTATCTCGTTTCATGTTGAGTGGCTTTAGCCTCCTAATTTTTTATTTATGTGATATTAAGCACTGCTGACAGAATTTACACAGGCTATTACCTCAGAGCTTCTTTACAGAAATATCAAGTGGAGCCATGGCACCGGTCTGTGGTGGTTTCGCATCCGAAAAATCAAAATGACACCACCCACCCCCAAACTAGAGCTCATATATAGAAATATTTTTTAACGTGACACCGAGATCAAAGCCAGAGGCAAGAAAAGTGATGCGTGACCCCACCCCATCCCTTTTGAAATCTGCTGCTTGAAATGGATCGTGTCGTATCATGCTATATAAGGGCTAAGTTTCCCATGGTCAGCCAGCATAAACAGATGGCTGCAATCCAAATAAATAAACAGAAGGGGGGGGACTAAACTCTGTGACAGAAGGCTAGGCCCAGGGAATTACTGTGATGGGGCTACAGAAGAGTACCAAACAATGGAGGCCCTTCCCCCCCCCCCCTTTGCTAGAGAGCTCTGTAATTTAAGAGGCCAAGGCCTACGGAACTCTGAACTAGTTCTGTGAAGTGCAGGGGGGCGGGGCACAAGATGAAGCCTTGCCCCCTGCTTCCGGCCACCCCGCTTCCAGCCCTCATTCAGCCAGGAGGAGGCAGGAAAAGAGGGAGGGTAAGTTGCTTCCTCCCCGCCTCTCCCCACCCCTGCCAGCCTGGGGCCAGGGAGGGCCTTGGTGGAGCTTCCTCGCACTCCCGCTGGCCTTGCAGGTCCACCGCTGGGCCCCTGATGTCAGGGGGTGTGGCATATGCTAATGAGTTATGCTAATGAGTTTCCCTAGCTCTTTTTCTACGAAACCACCCCTGCTTTAGACTATTCCCCCCCCTTCACGTAGTTCAGAATGTGGAACGACACGCCACTCTCGAAATGGAGAGAGCTTACAGAAAACAGTGTGTAATTTAGTGGAGAGTCATGGGTTTGAGAGGTGGGGGAATTCAAATTCTGCTTGGTCAACCTGGGATGTTTGAGCAAGTGACTCCAACATCAGGATCTACTTTGCACACAAACTTGAAAATAAAGAGATGCTTTAAGCACCTGAGCCCCATCCAGGGGGAGTTCTGGCTTTTTAATCCATTTTGCAAGGCAGACCCCCCCCCCAATGTCATCTAGTCCCTGGGTGCATGTATTAGGGTTGCCAACCTGCTGGTGGGACCTGGAAATCTCCCTGCATTACAATGGCACTCCCTGAAATACAACTGAGATCAGTTCCCCTGGAGAAAATTGTTGCTTTGGAGGGTGGACTCTATGGCATTATATCCCACAGAAGTCCCTCCCCTCCCCAGGCTCCACCCCCCAATCTCAATAAATAAATAAATAAATAAATAAATAAATAAATAATCTCCAGGAATCTCCCAACCAGAAGCTTGCAACCCTAGCATGCACTGCTTATTTTAGTTATCTAAATCAAGAAAGGTAGCATTAGGAGAATTTGGTTGCCTGTTATCGTTTACCTTTGATATAACTTATCATAGTTTTCCTTTAAAAGGTCCCTCTCTTTTTCCAAATCGTTAATTCTTTCTTGTAGCTGGAACAAAGAAGATTGCAAGTAGTATAACTGAAAACTTTTTTTTTAAAGTAACAGTTACTAGCACAAAGAAGTTTTGTAACTAGAAATGTCCAGTGTCAGGATTGGTTGTTTTTTTTCTCTGACATCACTTAACTGCTTTCATGCCACCAAAAAACCCAAAGCAAACTAAGTTGACCTGTCAATTAAGAAGTGCAATCAAAACAAATTTTTAGAAAAATTAATTAATTAATTTATGAAGGAAGTCACACACCCTCAGTTTGCAAGACTTAAGCAAGGCTGTTACGATCGGGCGTTTTGGGGGGTCATTAATTCATAGGGTTGCCATAAATCGGATGTGACTTGACAGCACTTTACTTACACACACACACGGGTTATTATTCCCCAGGTGGGGGCGAGGGATTCCCCCTTTTTGCAGATTCCTGCCCGCTGGTGGCCAGCTGGCCAGTGGGAGGAAATTCCCCCCCCCCAAAACAGCAACAACATACACGACACGCCAATGTCACCAGGAAGTGACATAGGCATGCCGGTGACTGGGGGGGGGGTACTCTGCTTTTTGAGCAAAACTCTATGGTTTGAGGGCGATTTCCCCATAGAGTTTAGTCCAAAAATCAGAGCGTCACCTCCGACGTCACCGGCGTGCCTATGTCACTTCAGGGTGACATATGTATGTTGCACAATGTCCCCGTCCACTCCTGGAACGCCCCCCTCCCCACTGGCACGATGATTAGACCTGGCAACCCTAACACACACACACACATTATCTATATATCTAATACTGAACTGGCCCCCTCTGTGCGGATCCTTAGATCCGGACATCGGGGGCACTTGGGGGGGAGGGAGAGGTTTGTGCACATGTGGGGCGGTCCCCACGTGTGCACAAAAATGCTAAATGTTGAAAAAACTTTCGGGGGGATGTTTAAACCCCCCCGAAAGTGCCAGAGCTTTCCGTGCGCATGGTGGGTCGGGCTGCTGGGAGCCGCACGGGCCTCGCCATTGGTGCTGGGGGGGTGGGGAAGAAGGGGAGAAGGCTCACCTGCTGCCGCTTCCTCCCCCTCCACGTGGAGCTCCCCCCCCATGAGTATCGTGGGTCCCCCTTCTTGTATATATATATAATTGCTTTGTTTTCTGCCTTTCCCCCCAACAAGGAGCTGAAGTGGCTCACGTCCTTTCCCTTCTCCTCCATTTCTGCTTCCATATGTAAACTGCTGGTTTTGTGAATGTTGTCAATTTTAATGTGTTTATTGTTTTATCTACCTTATCGTGTACGCCGCCTTGAGCCAGTTTGTTCTGGCTAGGTGGGAAACAAATCTAAAGCAATAAATAAGTAAATAGAATTTTACAAAAGCATTCTCCTTGTGTGCTCGATAGTCACAACTTTAGTATGAGGCTGCGTGGCCAAAAGGAAGGGAGGCAGCTGGCCTGGGCCTCAAGTTCAAAGGGGGCCTTAATTGTAGACACATTCGTTTTTTTGGCATCTGATACATTTTCCAGCTTGCTGTTACGCACATCTTATCTCATCCATTCTGACTCTCATTACGGCTATGGGCTCTCTTATATTTACTTTGTTTGTTGTCAAAACCCAGGACTTTTTTTGTAGCAGGAACCCTTTGCATGTTAGGCTACACCCCTAATGTAGCCAATCCTAATGAGTTTCTGCTGTTGGGTGTGCCCTATTATGCTAATGAGTTCCGGCTGGGCGTGGCCAACTCAGGAGCCAGCCGGAACTCCGTTCCTGTGCGTTCCTGCCCCAAAATAGCCCTGGTGTTAATAAACTACATCACGTAATCGTAACGGAAGGAAATACGTAGCAGGAAGGGGCCTCAGCAATGTCATGGGCTAAGCACCACTTATACATGCTGACCGTTCCTCTGCCAGATGTCTGTTGATAGGTCAAATGAGGCCAGTATGTTTATGCAAGCTGGAGCTATCTTCCTCTCGGGGCCCCGGGGACCCTCAATGAATCGGTCCCTTCCCACCTCGGATCACTGCGGAGATGAGGCACTCTTTTGAAACGTTTTCAGAAGAAAAGGGATACTTCTCACCTCTTCCAACCGTCGCTTTGAAAAAGTCACGGCCTGCAGCTCTTTCTCAAGGTGGAGACATCTCACTCGTTCTTCTTTAAGCTGCAGATTGAGCTCATCTCCGTTAGCCATTAAAGCATCGTGGCTTGCTTTGAGGTTCTTTTGATTCTGTTGGGGGTGGGGGGAGAGAACGCAATTCACGTTGGGGCGGGATGGATAAGATGAGTCTGCAATCCCCTGTTCGTGGCAGCCGGATGTCCTTTGGGAGTCTAACAGGGCTCTCCAACCGACATTTAAAGTGTAATCTGAGTTCGGTCGACAGGAGATGCTCTTGTCATGGGTTTGACACGATGTGGTCAGGCACAGCAAGCCAGGCACAGCAGCGGAGTTCCTCCCCCACCCCACTCTCTCCCAATTTGCCAACCCCTCCCAGTTCAGCTGGGATGAGAAAGACCAAGACAGACATCTGTTTAGCAATTAAAGCATTTTGCTGTGGTTCTTGTGGTTTGGACATGCTGACCAAAAACACTACAGTAGCAAGCAAAAATGAACCCCCGACCACAAATATGCCAATGCAGCTTTTGTCGTTTCGCTGCTAACCCACCAGTCGGTGCTTCATTTGTGTTCCTAATTCTTCCAACAGATTTAATTAACCAAACCAAACAACGGTGTGTTTTTGACTGGAATGCCTTGTTTCGTGACATTTGACATAGTTTAGCTGTGCTTAACTTTCTTTTTTCAAACGCACGCTTGTATGTACTATAGTTTAAAAACTACAGCACCCGCCTGAATTCACGGGGCTTTGATAATGTTTGTTTTTTAAAAAACAAACACTTTCACTCTTACAGAAAGACGAAATGTGCTTATCACAGCTTTAGAGTTTCAGGTCCATCTCCTGGTCGAGAGACTCTAAACCCTCAATTGTAATCATTAGAACAATACGCAAGGCATGGCGGTGATAAGTTCTGTAGAGGAAACTGGTTTGGGATATTCTGGGCAGCCAAGCCGTGATGGAACTGAGCATCTGAGATGGTTTTGGACAAAAGCCCTGATGCAGAGGGTCTATGTTCATTTGGATTACATGTATATGGGAGCTGGGTCATTATTTCCAGAGGAACAGCTAGCTTCAAGTCCAGTAGCACTATAGAAGCCAACAAGGTTTTCGAGGACTTGCAAAGTTATTAATGATTTTTTTGGGGAAAAAATCATTTTAGAAATAGCTAAAATAACGGGGATCACAATCCAAACAAACCCAGAATTAATCCTACTTAATCTTTGGGAGAACTTGAAAATTCCTAAAAGAAAACAAGACTTAATAATGACAATGGTCACGGCAGCAAAAAAGTAATATAGCTAAAAAATGGAAAGATGAAAATCCCCCTACAGTGCATTCTTAGTATATGAAGCTATGGGATTATTTTATTATGGGGAAAATAACAGATTACATTGAAAAATAACGTTACCGGATAAATAAATCATATATAATGGAAAAAATGGGCTCCTTTTATGAAATGGAAATTTAAACATCAAGATGGCACAGGAAAATCAAAATTAGATAATTATTATACACTAGTTGCAATTAGTTGCTTGGTGCTGGGGGGGGGGGGAAACAGTGGGAAGGCTTCTAATGTCCTGGCCCCACTGCTGGACCTCCTGATGGCACTGGTATTTCTGGCCACTGTGTGACACAGAGTGTTGGACTGGATGGGCCTTTGGCCTGATCCAACATTGGCATCTCTTATGTTCTTAAATACAATATTGAACATTTTATCCGTTTACACTTATTTACTCAGAATAGTATAAGGTAAATTTAGCCTCTCCTGATGGCTCACATTTGTATTATATTGTACCTGTTTTATGCTATTCATTGTCAATGGAAGTTACCGTTACCGTTACTGTCACTGTTACTGTTTATGTTACAGATACTCAGAGGTCATTTCGGGGGGGAACGCGGGGGATCGCAGTTCCCCCGGGTGAGGTACAGGGGGCGGGACACATGACAAAGCCCCGCCCCCTGCTTCCAGTCGCTCCGTTTCCGGCCCTCATTCAGCCAGGAGGAGGCAGGAGAAGAGGGAGGGTAAGTTGCTTCCTCCCTGCCTCTCCCCACCCCTGCCTGCCTGGGGCCAGGGAGGGCCTTCGCGGGGCTTCCTTGCACTCCCGCCGGCCTTGCAGGTCCACCGCCGGGCCCCTCATAACTCTCTCTAATACAGGAGTCAGTCCCTCTTCTAAAATGGCAGATGCTTCCGGCATCATCTAGGAACAAAGGAAGAATGTTTGGGGTTCTCTTGCTGGAATATGAATATATTGCTGGAATATATATATATTTGCTGGAATATATATATATTCCAAATTGAATGAAGTCACACAGAATTAACTAACATTTCTTTAATTGGTGCCACCCCTAAAAATGACCAAATACTTCAAATAAGTATGGCCAGTGCATATTTCATGCAATCCACATCTCATTGTAAATGTAACATGCACACTCTTAGTTGAATGGCATTTTAGGTGTAGCTGCAATCTGTACTTTGGTGGAGTATGAAGGAAACAGCGCTCTCAACATATTTACTTGAGCCCACCTGAACTTCAGGGGGCTGGATCCAAGGAAACCTGGGGGCTTCCTTCCATGATATGAAGAGCAAGAGGCGTGCAAGAGTAGACACTGGATCTAACTCAATGGGATTGACTCCCTAATACACATGTTTAGGATTCTAGATTCTCTTTCCATACCTCTTGAAGCTGAAGCAATTTTGCTTCCACTGCAGACAATGTGTTGCTCTTCTCCATCAACTGTTTGTTGAGTCTGATCATTTCAACATTGTCCCGAATGGTTAACCTTCAAAGCAACATATTTGAGAGAGAGAGAGAGAGAGAAGGAGAGAGAAAGCCGTGGTGAGCTTTAATGTACAATAACACTTGCCTTGTTAGTTGTGCTTTGAAAAGCTGAAAACCCTCGAAAATTGGTTTGTCATGGCTTCTTAATTCCAAAACACAGTTAGGGAATGGATAGTGCGTAACAGCCAACAATTTCTTTCCCCAAAAAAATCAATATTGTCGAGCGTTAAATATTTCCAGGTTTTACTGCAAACAGGATACTTCACATTACACTTTATTTGCACATATCACTTTACTCCATCAAACTTTGGGGATGCTGCTGTGAATGGAACTCACAGTAATTTGTTTTCGCAATCTAGTCATTTCCTTCCAAACCTGTGTTGTAGTACAACTATTACTTCCTGGAGTTTCGTCCTGGAACTCAAACTTCTTCATGTATTCCCAAGGAAAGTGACTTAGCACTTTATACAGATAACACCCCGTGTGACATTCCAATATTAAAACATCGGATGCAGAGAAATATCCGAGGAGATCTCAGCTACCCACATTATCCATATTGACCAGAGACAGTTTCTGCACAGCATGATACTAGCAAGATTACCATGCTGGGATAATTTTGTGGTGTAGATTGAAAGAGCTCACACAGCTGGATTCCATGAGATGCTGCGGCAGCAACCAAGTGCATAAAACCGGGTGCAGCAGATCTTGGTTTTCTTATGATGTGTAGGCTGTGCGACTGCTGCCATCTCGGGTACCACATCGGCGCGGCTCGAAAAGGCAAGCGACCTGAAAATGCCCTTTCTGCCCCTTGCACCAGTGGATCCTCGGCAGCAATCACATTTCATGCCCAACAACATAGATATTTTTTTCTAAAAATATATATATATGAAACTGAAGGTAAAAAAATGTGGTCATTTTGGCCACCCTGTCTTTTACAGATGCAGGTTCCGGAACTGTAGGGACGGAGCTCGCAGATGGGGTTCCACTAATGGTGGTGCTTTCCCTGGCACAAGCACCCATCTGCTGATGCAAGGTGGGGGGGAGGTCCCCGCTGGTGAGGAAAAAGTGGTGGCCCCACATGCCAGAGAAAAGAGTTCCTGGGTCCTGTATCCAACTACACAGTTAACAAAATCCTTCAGTTTTCTTGAGAGAGAGCCGGGATTCGCAACCATTCCCTTTCCCTGCTGCACCCCGCAAGCTTCCCCTCCCCCCACAATGTTGTTCCTGGGGGGGGGGTCAGCAGATACCCAGAAACAGCACAGTGGGAGTCTTCAGCAAGGAAGGGGGGAACTGGCAGAAACTGCCACCCCTTCTAAATGCCTTTAAGTTTTCTTAATGTGGTTGGATCCAGACCATGATCTGCAGGAACCAATCCATTATCGGATTTTGTTCAGTTGGCTGGAGCTCAGTAGATGTGCCAGTAGGGTTGCTTTGTTGTTGTTGTTGTTCAGTCGCACAGTCGAGTCCGACTCTTCGTGACCCCATGGACAAGATCTCGCCAGGCCCTCCTGTTTTCCACTGTCCTCTGAGGTTTGCTCAATTTCATGTTAGTTGCATCTATGACACTAACCATCTCAACCTTTGCCGTCCCCGTCTTCTTTGACCTAAGAGATTTTAGGGGTGGCGCCTGGGTGCATTCTAGTATACCTCTGAACTAAAACAGGTCTCCCACGGCTGTGCACGGCAGGGGAAAGACAGTCCGTAGTTGTTGGCAGGTGGTCTTTTACAAAACCTAAAGAGAGCCAGCTTGGTGTAGTGGTTAAGTGTGCGGACTCTAATCTGGGAGAACTGGGCCACCCTTATGTGCCAGGCACTCTTTGTTTGAGACAGGAAGACAGTGTATAAGCTAGCCCATAACAGATAAAGGAAGACCCTTTCAAATACCTGATGCTCCACAGGCAGAAGTCTGCAAGAACATTCCTCCAAAGAGCTCAAGGTGATGCACACAATTATCACCTCCTCAGTTTCATTCTAACAACTCAGCCGTTAACTTTGGCTGAGAGAGAGAAAGACTGGCCCAAAGTCATTCATGGGCGAGCATAACTGAGGATTCGGACACAGATCCCCCAGGGCCAAATCCAGGAGTCCCCGACCTTTTTGAGCCTGTGGCCATCTCTGAAATTCTGACACAGCGTGGCGGGTGCGACCACAAAACAGCTGCCGCAAGAGGCGGCACCAACCACAAACTGTCAGGGAGTGAATTTATGCATAACGGTAACAGTAACTCTTTTGATTTCTGAAGGAGGCTGTTTATCAGGATGTCTTTTAAAATAAACATATTGTTCAAAAATATTTTCTTGCATACACACAGCTCACCACCGGTCATTCTAGTACTGTAGTAGCAGCAGCAGCTGCTGAAGCAATTTTTTTAAAAAAATCTTCACAGCCAATCAGAAATCCTGCTGGGTGAAAGCCCCGCCTGGCCCCACCCACTTTCTAAAGACACTTCTCAGGTCCAGGAAAGATGCTGGCAGTTGTCATGGATCTACAGCACCACACGAGCGACCCCTGCCCTAGTGTGACACGAACTCTGTCCCCACAGGCAACTTCCGTGCCACCAAAAGCCACTGTAACTCTGAGACACGAAAGTCCTCTCTTTGTTCAGTTTTCATCATACCGCTGGCCTGTCGCCTGATGCTCCTTCAGTTGCAGGAGGGATTCTTCAAACTCCTCTTCCTTCCTCCTGATTTCATTTCCGAGTGCTTCTACCGTACGTGCCAACTCCTCGTTGTGCGCCCTTTGTGATTCAACCACGTTCTCCCTGCAAGCCAACAAAGCAACATTCAGAGCGTTTGGAGTACACTGGATGCGACAGAAAGCTTATCCCCCACCCCCCCAAGTGAAGAAAAATAGAACAAAAGGTGGCTTTGGGTCATTAAAAAAAAGAGTCAGAATTGAGTTATTCTTCCAAAGATCACACTTGATCCTACTGCTCCACCATTTCCCCTCTGCTTTAATCAAGCTGATTACAGTATGTATGGTACCTCTGCATCCTTTACAAGAATTCTTTATGACACTCCTCCCACCTTCTGCGATAAAGACTCTGGGATCTCCATTCCTACCTGTGTCTGATGAAAGGAGCGAAGAAGAAGAAGGAGAAAAGGAGGAGATTGGATTTATACCCCGCCCTTCACTTGGAGTCACAGAGCGGCTTACAAACTCCTTTCCCCTCCCCTCCTTGCAACAGACACCTTGTGAGGTAGGTGGGGCTGAGAGAGCTCTTTCCAGAACTGTCCTTGAGAGACCAGCTCTGACAGAACTGTGGCTTGCCCAAGGTCATCCAGCAGCTGCGAGTGGAGGAGTGGGGAATCAAACCCGGTTCTCCCAGATTAGAGTTCGCGCACTTAACCACTACACCAAACTGGCTTTGACCCTAAAAAGCTTGTACCCTAAAATTCTTGTTGGTCTCTAAGGTGCTACTGGACTCACATCTAACAATCCTACTGAAGCCACTCTAAGGAACTGGAAGAAGCGGGCAAAGAAGCTGGGGGGGTCCTACAGACTATTAAATATTATTATAACAACTCAAAACGGCAGCATATTTAATTACCAGCCCTCTACTATGGTTTAGGGACTCACAACCAACAAAAGTCAACTCCAGTTGCTTCCAAACCATCATATAGTATAAAACAAACAGCTGAATTCGAACAAGCTTTGCATCGAGTAGTGCCAATTACTTATTTGGGGTTGGATCCAAACCCTAGGGTCAAATTGAGAGTTTACCCTTCTGCTTTCAGAAGGGAGACTTTTGATCTAACCCATGGTTTGAGTCCAACCCATCATAATTCTACATGCTCAAGGAAGGACTCTTACAGTTGAAGGAAGGGCAGTTTTGAATTCAACTCCGTGGTTACGATCCAACCCCAGATCTGAACAGACTGAAATTATGGTTTGGGGCACACTGTTAAATTGACAAACAAAACAGTACAACCCACTCTAAATATGGGCTCGTGGGCAGGTGGTTCTGGTGCAAATTCTAGGTGAACAGTCATTCCATGGGACTCTTGGGTGCATTCTAGTATTTGTTGTTGTTCAGTCGCACAGTCGAGTCCGACTCTTCGCGACCCCATGGACCAGATCCCGCCAGGCCCTCCTGTCTTCCGTTGTCCTCTGAAGTTGGCTCAATTTCATGTTCGTTGCGTCGACTACACTGTCCAACCATCTCATCCTTTGCCGTCCCCGTCTTCTTTGACCTTCAATCTTTCCCAGCATTAGGGTCTTCTCCAGTGAGTGCTCCCTTCTCATTTGGTGGCCAAAGTATTTAAGCTTCAGTTTCATTATCTGGCCTTCCAGGGAACAGTCAGGGTTGATTTCTTTTAGGATTGACTGATTTGATCTTCTTGCAGTCCAAGGGACTCTCAAGAGTCTTCTCCAGCACCATAGTTCAAAAGAATCTATTCTTCGGCGCTCGGCCTTCCTTATAGTCCAACTCTCGCAGCCATACATGACTACTGGGAATACCATTGCTTTGACCATGCGGACTTTTGTTGGCAGGGTGATGTCTCTACTTTTTATCATGCTGTTTAGGTTCGCCATCGCTTTCCTCCCAAGGAGCAGGCGTCTTTTAATTTCATGGCTGCTGTCACAGTCTGCGGTGATCTGGGATCCCAGGAACGTGAAGTCTGTCACCACTTCCACGACTTCCCCTTCTATTTGCCAAGGAGTGATGTGGCCAGATGCCATAATCTTAGTTTTTTTGATGTTGAGCTTCAAGCCCACTTTTGCGCTCTCCTCTTTTACCCTGAGCAAGAGGCTCTTTAGGTCCTCTTCACTTTCTGCCATTAGAGTGGTATCGTCTGCATATCTGAGGTTGTTGATCTTTTCCCCAGCAATCTTAATTCCCGCTTGTGATTCATCCAGGCCAGCATTTCGCATGATGTACTCTGCATATATATTAAATAAGCAAGGCGACAATATACATCCTTGTCGTACTCCTTTTCCTATGCTAAACCAATCAGTTGTTCCATATCCGGTTCTAACTGTCGCTTCTTGGCCCTTATACAGGTTTCTCAAGAGACATGTGAGGTGGTCTGGTACTCCCATCTCTTTAAGGACCAGTGAAGGGTGAGGTCTAAATCCAATCATCATCATCATCATCTCCTCCTCCTCCTCCTCCTCTTCTTTTAGGAACCTCTGGTAACTATCTGAACAGTTCCAGAGCTACCCCCAGACAGTCTAAAAACCATACTACTCTTTCATGTTTCTGAGACACATTAATGATACTATATAAACAGCCTAAAGAAAGACATAGCACGGAGTATATTCGAGTGATCAACTGGGAATGCAAAATATGTTTGTTTCCCTTCATGGCACCTCTGAATGGCTCTCCATGTCGCTTTTCAAAGTAACACTGGGGAGATTCCGACTTGGTAGCACAACCTGTAGAAGATCTTTTGAAACAGGATCCCCACGGGAGCTTGGGGAGGGGAAAGTTTAGCGGTGGGCCTAGGCAGAGTGGTTATGGAAGGCCATTGAGACATAGGAGAGCTCGGTGTCCTTCCAGCCTACGGCCCATCCCAAGGGTGGCTAGCAGTGGGGCCAGGAATGACCCCCCTCGGTCATTGGTGTTGTGTAACGCCAGGTCCATTAACAACAAAGTCGCAACTCTGAGAGAGTATGTGACGGAACATCACCTGGCGTGCGTGACCGAGACCTGGGTGAGGGAAGGTGAGACTTTGGCTCTCACTCAGTTAGCCTCCCTGGGCTACTCGGTCCTTCACCAATCGCGGAATCAGGGGCGGGGGGGAGGGGTGGCTATTCTCGTTCGGGAGGCTTACTCCTTCAGGGCACTCCCGGCCGTAGAGATCGCGGGCATAGAATGTGTCGGCGTGCTGCGGGGGGCTGAGGAGAGTTTGGCAATTTGGCTGGTGTACCGACCGCCTAATGCACCGGCCAATAGTCTGCCGTCCCTGCTGGAGGCCGTATCAGGCTGGGCGTTGGATCACCCTCGACTGATGGTCTTGGGTGATTTCAACGTCCATGCTGAGGACGCGGCCTCCAGCCGGGCTACGGACCTGGTGTCGTCCATGGCGGCGCTGGGACTCTCGCAGCTTGTATCGGCCCCCACGCATCGGGCTGGTCACATGCTCGACTTGATCTTTGCGACGGGTGTGGAGGTGGACCGGATCACTGCTGAGGCAGTGCCATGGTCGGACCACCTGGCCCTGAAGGCCCGTCTGAGCATTCCACCTCAACCCTGTTTGGGCGGTGAGCGTATTTTTGCTCGCCCGCGGAGCCTGATGGACCCGGAGCGGTTCCAGAGGGCTCTGCGGGATCC